TCGGCGGAAGCCGGCGGAAGCAGAGGGCGGCCCCCCAAGGGATGAACACGTTTTCGGGTCGGGAGTCGGGCACGTAGCTTGCACCCACACCGCACAGCTTGCACCATGTAGTTTGCACCTCATTGACCACGTAGCTTCACCGAGCACCAGACAGGTCACACAACACAGCCTGCACCACATAGCTCACACAACATATCTAACCCACATGCTGCACCTCATGTCGGCTCGGTTGCCTCGCCGCATTTTCCACCTCTCTTTTGGGTCCAGCGCTCCTGCTCCTCCTTCTTCTCTTCGGCTGACTGGTTGTGTGGCCAATGCAGTTTAGGCCACCGGCCTTGCCTCTCGGGACTCGTTACTTCTCTCTGCCCTGGCTCTCATCGTTTCACTGCTTGCCGATGTATGACCACGCATGGTCTCGAGAACTCTGTTGCTCGTCGGCCAACGTACAATCCTCTGTCCCGCACTGTGGCGCAGCTCGGCTGTGGTCACATGAGGCGCTTGACGACGAGCTGTTCAGTTGTTTTGTGGAGAAAATCCTGTTGCACCACATATCTTACGTCACATAGCTCCCGCACCGAGTCGATTTCACCGCATAACTTGTACCACATAGCTTGCACCATACAGCTTGCCCCACCTAGCTTTCACAACGTAGCTCGCACCACACATCGTACATCATATTTTCTAAATTGCATAGCTTGCGCAAACAGCTTAGACAACACAGCTTATACCGCATACCGTGCATCACATAGCTTGCACCACGCAGCTTGCACCTCGTACCTTGCACCACGTAGCTCGCAGCACACAGCTTGCACCACACAGCTTGCTCTACATAGCCTGGATCCGTGGCCTTTCTCAATGTAGGTTGCACCACATATGCATCATCCCATACCTTGCTCCACACATCTTACACCACATAGCGGGCACCGTATAGCTCACACCACATAGCTTAAACCACGTACCTTGCATCACGTGGCTCTCAGCACAGCTTGTGCCACAGCTGTCGCTACATATCTCGCGCCATACTGCCTCTTGTACCGTATAGCTTGCTCGACATAGCTGTCATTATATAGCCTTCACCACATAGCCTGCGCCACATATATTGGACAACGTAGCTATCAGCGCATAGCTAACACCGTATAACTTGTGGCACGTAGCTTGCACCACAAAGCTTGTCCCATATAGCTCACGCCGCACAGCCTGCACGACGCAGCTTTTACCACATAGCTTGCACCGCATAGCTTACGCTGCAGAACTTGCACCACATAGCTTTCACCACATTACTTCCACCGCATAACTAGAACCACGGATCTCGCACCGCAAAGCTTACACCACACAGCCAGTGTCACGTAGTTTGCACCACACATGCTCTCCAAATCCCATGCTCTATTGGATCCATCGGTTCGTTTTGATTCCGATTCATTTTTAATGATTCTTCTGGATTCCAATGAATTCCGGTTGATTCTTCAGGGATCATAGAGGTTCTCCAGAAGCATGTAGAAATCCTCGGGAATCCTTCGGGACCATTGGACATCCTCAGAAACCATGAAGCGTCCGCAGTAGCCCTTGATAATCTGGATGCAGCTTTAGGAATCCTGTGGGATTCTCTTAGGCATTTGTGGGAACCATCAGGAGCCCAGGAGCGTCCCCGGGAATCCTCAGGCACCCACAGGGATCCCGAGGATCCCGCAGAATTTTTTAGGATTCCGAAGGCATGGTGAGGAACGTTTTTTTGCTTTAAAAATCTTTGGGAACCCTTACGAACCATCAGGAAGCCCCAGCCATCAACGCTGACGGGGAATTCGCAGGAACCAGATATGTTCCAAAGGTTCCTTCGGGATTCTCGGGGGTCCTGAGGAATCCTCATGATTCTGGTAATAAGTGACACGCAGGATTTGCTGTTTCAGCGCAAGGAATGCAACCCCTTGAGTTGACCCCCCCACTACCAGGCCACAAACAAAACGTTACCCTGTTACGGCTACAACTTTTTTTGTTTTGAACACGATTACTAATGCTACTACAAGTGCTAGTGCCAGTGCTGCTAGTGCTACTCGTGCTACAATCACAACTTACTACTCTTACTCTTACTCTTACTCTTACTCTTACTCTTACTCTTACTCTTACTCTTACTACTACTACTACTACTACTACTACTACTACTACTACTACTACTACTACTACTACTACTACTACTACTACTACTACTACTGTTACCACTACTACTACTACTATAGCAACTACTGCTACTCTTACTACTACTCTTATTACTACTACTACTACTACTACTACTACTATTGTTATTTGTCATTACTACTACCGCTACTACCACTACTAATGTAACAAGTTCTGGTACTAGTGTTACCAATCTTTCTTCTTCTTCTTCTTCTTCTACTACTACTACTACTACTACTAGCATTACCAGTGCTAGTACTAATACTAGTACGAGTTTCAGTACTAGTACTAGTACTAGTACTATTATTACTACAACTACTACGACGACGACGACTAATACTTCTAATCTTTTTGTTATTACTATTTGTACTACTTCTACTACGAATCGAGCTGCCGCTACTGCTACTTTCCGCAACTGCTGTGACCACCACTGCTATTACAACTACAACTACGAATCCATCAACAGTAATAACGACTACCACTACTACGTCTACGGCTATGACAAGAAACCACCATTGCCGCTGCTACCGCTACTATATTTCAACCCTGCCCAACAGTACGACTACGTCTACGAACGCGACTTCTGTCACTCCGAGTTCGATGACGACGACCATTATTAGTACTGCTACTATCGCAGTTATATTCACTATTCCGACTACAGCTGCGACTAGTACTGGTACTACCATCATTGCTTCGCCCACGATTGACAATACTATTCAGCCTGCCACTGCCACTACCACATCCACCACTCGTACTATTTCCTCTATTGTTATTGCTCCTGGTATCACCGCCGCTGCTGTTGCTTCTGTCACTCCTACATGTACATATGTTATCCTCACTGCTGTTGTCGGGCGTCATGGGTTGCGTCCATTGAATTTGCTATAGGTTGTGCCATCAAGCATGACGCATATTTGTGTGCGCCATTGGTTCCGCCAATGGATCGCGACATCCGCTGTGCCCATAGGTTTCGCCACTGGTGGCGCGGGTTTGTAGGCGCCCCGTGTCACCCAATTGGGCGGTGTCATAGGTTTCTCCAGTAGGTTACGGAATAGTCAACTTGAGCAATTGTGGAGGAGCGATGCGGAGGGCGGGGAGGAGACGCCTGCTGTGGCCCCTCCTTTTCCTCACGGAGTGCCTGTATTTTGCCCCTCCTTTTCCTCACGGAGTGCTTGTATTTAGCTGTGACACTAAGCTAATCTACCTTCTCCGCTATGTAATTGGGCTGATCAGTGGGGGGATTCCGCCCATGCTTCAGTTCCGAGCGCTCGCCACGAACGCGCTCGCGTCCTGTGCGGTGCTGTCGAGGTCAGCCGTCGTGGCGTGTCGCCTTTTTTTGCGCAGCGATGCCAGAGTCAGTCGATGCGTGCGTTTCTGTTGGGCCCCCCCTGAAGTCAGTCTCCGTAGACGGGCTAACGCTGATGTAGGTCACGGCGATGCTGGTTTGATTAGTGTGGGAACGCGCGGCTCGCGCTTTGCTGCAATTCGCTGTGTCGTGTTCGCTCGATCCATTTGCATATGGGAATTATAGGCAAAGTCTGTTCGTGATTTTCTACAAGTTGGTTTCCGGCGCCACTGTTAAGCATCATCTCGCAGGCCTAGAGGTTGACACCAACACCAGTATCGGCGGTGTTCCTCCACCGAGGGAAGAGGATCCCGATCTCGGTGATGGTGGTACTATTTTGGCTGCCGAGATGACCGAAACATTCCCACCAACGCCGAAATCCAGGATCATCTTCCCCCTGGTGTTGGTGCTCACTTCCAGGCCTCCAACGTCAGCCTGGCCTTGGGGTCTCCGACGTCGCCCCCGACAGGCGCGCGGTGACGTGGTCGCGGGCGAGGTGCTCCTGGACGGCAGGGCCCCCTCGCCGGCGCACGACGTCCTCATCGGAGGCGGCGGCCCCAGGCCCCTGGGGGAATGACAGTGGAGAAGCTGGAGGAGGAGGAGGAGGAGGAGGAGGATGACGATGTTGATGATGACGATGACGATGATTATGCTGCTGCTGCTGCTGCTGCTGATGATGATGATGATGATGATGATGATGATGGTGAGCACGGCGACTCAAAAAAGTTGCGTCGTCGTGCCCGCCTGCTGGCCGAAACCCGCTTCATGCTGGTCTGCCGACGGTGGCGCCAGAGCACGGGCTCTGGCGCCATAGCCACCCATATGCCATCCAGCAGGTGAGCTTCACCTTGGGACCCCGTCTCCTCGGCCTCCCTCTTCGGCCCCGCCCTCTTCCCGAGGGGGGGGGGGCCGCCCCGAGGCCGGCGGCGGTGCAGCGCGCAAGCAGCGCGGGCCCCAGGGCCGCGCCGGCCGGCCCGCGCACCAGCGTGGTGGCTGGAAGGGCCGCCGCCCCGCGGCTGCCCCCGGCGCCGGCCTTCCGCGCCGGGGGCTCGGTCGTCCAGGGCGCCTGGCCGACCAGGCGCCGCCCCCCCCCACCACTCTGTGCGGAAGGGCAGCAGGGGCTCTGGCAGTGCCCTCGGCGAGTGCTCATGTCTCTCTCTCTTTCTCTCGCTCTGTCTCTCTCCCTCTCTCGTTCTCTCAGTCCCTGTTTGCTCTGTCTGAGTACATCTGTTTATACATACGTATACACATATTCATCCGTCCCGCCCATTCTCAATCTCTCAGTCTTTCTTTGTCGCCCTTCCGCACATATCCGGTTATGTTTGTGTGTCTCTTTCTCTTTCCGCTTCTTTTCTATATATATATATATATATATGTGCACCTCCATTTTTGCAAACTGGGGAGGCGGGACCCCCCCCCCCAAACTGGACCCCAGGATCTGGGGTTTCTGGGCCCCCCGGACACCCTTGCCATTGGTCTCCTGGCTCGT